GCCGTCACGGCTGAAGCAGGTGAAGCACTTCTTCTTGTCCTCCAGGTGGCTGACGATGCAATAGCGCTGAGGCCGGATCAGTCCGCATGTGGATGTGGCCGACAGCCGGTTCTCGCGGCCGATCAACAGGTTGCCGGTTGCCGGGTAGCAACTCCTTTCGCTGCATATGTCCCTGTCAAAGCAAGATACGCCTAAAATGGAAAAAAATATTCTTCGGTCATTACGTACAATACAAGAAAGCATGACAAAGCAAAATAAGAGCGTTTTGGGAACGGTGAAAGGTGTAAACTACATACGGTAGTACCGACTACTCCGTAGTGGCGTTCTGTTGACTCTCAGCACTGCTTACGTTGAAAACAATTTACCAGCTGACAGCGGGACAGCTCAAAATGCTGCATACGTACAGCCAGAAACATGAAACCGTCCACGCAGAAGTACTGCACTACTACTACGCAATTAGTAACCAGCATTAACTGCCAGCAGTAACTTCTAATCATTAAGACCCACTATTTCCCTGATTCTTTCACTAGTTACGTAGTATAGTTATCAGCATGCCCAAATCCAAACCAGACCTTCTATGCTGTGGAATACTGACAATTGTCTCATCAAGGATTTATTAGCAGCTCTTACGACCATATGTGGTCAGTCATTGAATCTCATGGCTACGGTACAGGTGTGGTACACTGTGGCAGGACATCAAGCCAATGCATCAGAAATTGTCATTGTCATACTTCTATTCGAGTTCCGTTTAGTTCAGAGTACTATAACGAACGGCAACATCGTAATTTTCTCTGCACAGCCCGGCATTATTTGGATAGTGGTGAGTGATCGATAACGCAGAATGAAAGCGAGCTGGACTAAACGCCATTCGTCCGAATCAGCGTTCGGACTAAGTGGGTAGTGAATGAGAGATGAAACTCACCGATGGTGGCAAATGTGATATTCCGTTCGAATGGATGACTGCGTAATGCATAACTTTCGGCAACCTCATAAAACGTACTTTTTCCCGTGTTTTCTTCGTTGCCCGTTTGGCACCAAAGATACTAATCTTTACATTTTCCAATAGCATTAATCAAGTATAATCGGATCCTCGCTTCACCTTGCCCATGAGTTATCGCCCTGCGTTCAGACGATTATTATATTTTGACGTGATTTCTTCTCCTCTTCTATGCGCCTTCATTTGGATGGTGATCTCTATTCCGGGTAGGAGTAATGACTGCTCGTGAGAAAGCACGAGTTAGTTACATGAGTAAAGGTTAATCGAATAATCAAACTACATATCATTAAATAGGCTTTAAACTTTACAACATCATAATAACTCTCCATGGGCTTTCACGAAGAGGACGCCATCCAGGACATCAGCCACCATCAGCATTAACTCAAGAGAATGAGACCTTAACGGACAGTGCTTGGCAGAAGCGCCAAAAGGAAGGAACATTCATCTTCAACAATCGTGCTTCTAGATTCGGCAAGTGGTTCAAAAACCTCTGGCTACGTATCATCACCGAAAGCAAAGCATAGAACAATACTACGATAGGAACCCGTGATCGCTGACATGAAGGAAATAGTCATCAAGAAGAAGTTGAATGACCTGGTCCTTGTCATGCTTCATTCGGCGCTAATTCAATATATATCCTCCAATAAAATAGGGCATTATTGCCATCCTGATCAAAATCATCTCAAAATTCAGAAGCCCACGTTACGCATATCTGACCGGTAGGGACTTGGGATCTTTCTGACTGACGAAGAAAAGAGTCACTTAATGGAAATACAAAATCCGGGAATGAGGATATGCTCGACTTCTGAACTGTAACATTTGAAGTTTCAGGAATTCTTGTGACGGTGCTTCAAAGCAGTAATACAAATCATCTGCAGTATGGACTAAATCTGCAACCGATTACTTGGTTCACCTCATACTGATACAGTAAAGATCACAATGGTCTTAGCTTCGTCGCTGACTTTGGGTCGCCTAAATGGATGTTTTAGCTTGTTCCAAAGTTGGGTCAGCTCTTAGATGGTTCGACACGAATGCAACATGACCGTGAACTGCTTAAGAATGAACAACGTCATTCATTTCAACACAAGAAAACATCAAGACCGATGCCGATTTCCCGACTGAACAAGTTTATCGCCTGTCTAGCAAAGGGGCAATATGCTTAATGGAAGTTTCGCACAAAGACTACCGTTTCCATCCGCAGGATAAGATTGGTGAGGGTGAGCATATGTGCAGCTGATGGATATAGCTTGACTGAAAAGAACCTTTAGGTCACGCTGTTCGAGCGGCCGCTGGATTGCTCTCAGTGTTCGACGTTGCGATCGCGGATTTGAAACCTTATAACTGGATGGGAGTGGTCCTCACAAATCGTTTGCTTTAGCGCATCATGCTGTGTATCAGTGGGAAGCTCTCTGTGAGCGAAGTACTCTGCTGTCATACTTGTGAATTTCTGAGTTACAAGATATGACCCTAGTGACTACCAGGTCATGAGATGAGCGTGCGGTCCTGCGGTGAATCTATATCACTGGCAGATGCTTATCCGTATTTATAAACTATCTGACTTAACTCTTCATATTAACTGGCAATGGGAAGCTCTCTATGATTACAATGCACCTAATACATAGCATGAAACTGAATATCAAATCGCAAAACAACCACCAATCTTGGTCCAAGCAGTGTGGCCGAAAACATTACAGTATGGTAGTGTGCTACGTCAGCAGCTTCTGAATAAAGCCTTTCAACTTTGAACCTTTCCTGTGCCTAAATTCAAATTCAAATCGAATTTCCTTAAATTCCATAAATACAAGGTTTATAAACTGCAATATTAATCGGATGGCAGATCACCTGACAATTTTCCTTCTGGACTACTCTTGGTTACTCCCTACCATCATGGTCTACAGGTGGTATATGCCCTAGATCGGCGTCGTAGACACTCGATCAAAGGCCAAACACCCTTCAGCTTCGAACTCACTCTGTGCTCAGGGAACATCATTCGCATCTGGTGATTGAGTTCCTCGATGACGCCACGCTGGTGGTCTCGCTTGCTCTACAGCGATTGTTTTTTCAAAGCTTGCCTAACGCCGCCGACCCTAAAGAACGTCAGTGGTGTCATCGTCATTAAGCAAGCGGTTAATGTTCAAAGTTATAGCAGTACTTAAAGGAATAAGTTTGTTTCTTTGGTGAGGGCTCAAGTAATTAAGGTAACGGCTTCTTCTCAGCAACGTGGTACGAAGAACGAATGAACCAAGTGGTTAACCGGCATGGCGACTACATAACAGAGGCGTCTCGTTTGAACCACTGTGTCAGTCGAGGACAGGCGAGGACCCTTCTGTCCCCAATACCCATGCATTATCATACCCGCAGCCGGTTCAACGCTCTACCATGTGGCACAAAGCTCTACTCAACTGCTGTACTTTCAGAGAGCCGGAGTGACAAAAGCAACTGCTCTCTCACAATATCACCACCCACCCTTAGCATTCTGCAGATATGCATTTCACTGTATTCTATGATGTCACATGGTATTACTGAGCAAAGATAATTTATGTCGATAATAACGCTCGCCACCTATTTTACTCGATATCCCACTGATTTGCCCATTTACCCTGAACGGTTCCCAACAGCTTACGAAAAACTTGCGTTTCCGATGTATTATGGTGTTATGACGACTGAAGCATATGCCTTTCCGCAATATCCCTTTTCCATTGCGTACTTTTTGCTTGTCAAACGTAGGGAGATTTACGTATCTCCTTGAATGGTCCTCCTACGTCACTGGAAGCAAGGGCAGCACACTTACATGCCGACAAAATACAATTCCACACACTGAAATCTTGTGACTATCGGCGGAATCTGAAAACAAACTACTATGTGCCAGTTACCGCGGAACATCGGGATTATGTTTGTCCATACCTCTGTATATATCTATGGAGAGTAACAGATTTCGATGGTACCGCAACGCGTCCCTGGTCAAGTTAAATCCGTGCATCCAATGCACTACAGGTACTCGAATACCGTAGAATCATAACCAATTTATATGCTTAGCGTGATGGGCCAATTCCCCTCAAAGACAATCGTTTTCTTATTCACGAATTCCCTCAAACAAGGAATTTACCACACACTGCTTCCGACCGTGGTTGTCTAGTCGGTAAAGCGTCAAACACAAAAAAGATAGGTCAAAGACCTGGTCGATATCACTCGCCCGTCTTTCTTCTGAGGTTGGTAAATAAGTACAGCTCTGTGGGAAGAAAACAGTAGACACACGCTACACTGGTCACATGGCTGTAGACTCTGCCTTTAAAGAAAATAAAGCATTCCTGGGCATTCCTGTTTCATGGCATAGAAAATGATATCAGTACCACACCATCAATTTCATGCAAAGATGGGCAACCAAAATGACCCATTCACAAAGGTGAAGAATATATAGGAACGTATATATTCCATATATATATATATGGCCGCCAAAATGGCGATTCAAATTCTCTGGATGCCTCCAACTATTGGATATGGCCGAACAG